AAAAGCGCAAAAATCCGAGGTACCTGTGTTCCACGGTTAATTTTATATTTTATTAATTATTAAAAATGTTTACTATTTTTAAAAATAGAAAAAAAAATAAAGTTAAATCAATTAGTTTATTAAAATTATATTCATTTTCATTTATTTTTATGTATTGTTGTATTTTATTGGTTATTGACAATTTAAAATATCATCTTGAAATACTTATATAAAATTTATAAAATATTAATATTGATGCAAATAATATTTCTTTTTTTACATCTTTTGCGTTTGTCATATTTTGGGTAGGTATAACAGCCAACAGGTATATAATATCAGATTAGCGCTTAGGTCTTACAAATGTTAAAGGAAATGATAATGTCATTTTTGCACCTTTGGCACTCATATCATATAGTCAGTCAAGTCAGTAGTCTTATTGTAATTTTAAGACCTACAATTAAAGTATGCATGCTGTGTCAAAACTTTTTGTTATAACATGCTAAGCAGCTAAGTTATATACGAGTTAATTATTTTCTGGGTTAATTTATAAGTTAATTATTTAAAATTTGAAAATTACCAATTACCATGAATAATTATATAAATTAGATAATGTTGTATAGTTATATAAGTTATAAACACATATAATTGTTTGAATTTGAAGAAACAATAAAATAAAAATATGTGCATTTACCTAAATAATAAATATTCATACATTTATTTTCTTACCAAATACTTCTCCTGGAATGTTATACACGATGTTGTACCGACACTGCTAAAATATTCTAATTGTTCAAAATAGGTAGAATGGTAGGATACTTCAGATACTTGGTGTAAATTTAGGAATAATGAAAAAAAACCGGTTTTATTTTTAAAATTAAAGATGATATAATTTTCTATTTTACACTCTAAGTTCATTTATATTCATGCTTTATGTATAGATATTTTTCTTAAATTTTAAACAAGTTATTACTTAACCAACTTTAAATGTATTTGTAGGAATATCATTATTTGACTGTAAGAATCAGATCATTAGCTGCCTCATCTCTTCGGTCTTCTTCAAGTTCCTTCTAGAAGAATTCTACTGTCTCTTTTGTCTTAGATTGTATGCTCATTGGACGGCTATCTTTTATACGCCTATTACATGATAACAAAATATAACATGATGTGATACCAGATACGATAATATGATATGTTTGGTTAAATATATGTATATTTATTTATACATAATTGATTTATGTGTTTAGGTAATAATATGATTATTTAAGTAAATTTGGAGAATAAAAAAATATTTTTTCTTAAAATAACTTGTATACAGACTCCAGTGTCCTGTAAATTCTGTGAGCCTGTAGCATAGTCTAAAAAAACTACAAAAATGTACTCATGGCGTATAATTATTAATTACATATTTATATACCTATATTATATAGGTTAAGTAAACCGCCGATGAGTAAAAATTGATTAGCCTCCTTCCCCGACAAATTTTTTTATAGAAAAAAAAAAGGCACCAATATATTTTTGCACCTAGGGTGCCAAATTGTAAATACACTTCTGCCTATAGGTATATTATACGTAAATTTTTGTAAAACTTCGTTACATCAACTCGTCTGAATCTAATGCATAATAGTTTTCAAGAGGCTATGTAATATTGTATTAACAGTTGTTCTTAAATCTTAGTATATAATTTGAATATTATATAGTTAAAACCGGAAACATTCGCAGTCCATAGACATATAGATACCTAATAATATAGAATTCAGTCTAGAAGGTCTATCTTTTTGTAGACTGCAGTCTGTATTATAAATTTGTGGTATTAGAGAATACGCTTGGCCTTGTGAAATATAATAGGTACATGATCATGATTCATGAATCATAATCTCATCACGATTTCTGGCAGATCGCCGTGACGCCGTATATTAGCAAAGAACAAGCAAGTAAAATTGTTGATTCAAACATAAATACGTTAATAAATCATTTAGTATATTTTATAATTTTCGTATTTTTGTTTCTTTAATTAGAAATTCATAATCTGCATAATATTATTTTTGTTTTGATGTAAATATTATTAACCTAATGTCCAAACAACTTATTATTTTTAATCTGATCCTTATTAATTAAAATTATTATAGTATCTACATGGGAACGTGACTCTATAATTGAAGCTGAACACAAAAAGAAAATGTTCATACCTAAAAATTTTTATGTATAGAATATATAGCTTTTTTCGATATTTATTATTTATAATATACCTTCATGTTTAGTACATATATTTATGGCTATATTATTTAATTGTATTTGTATACTGTATATAAACATATAGTATACATAATTTAGGTTGGCCTTTTGACTGACGTTCATTTTAGTTTTTCTCATACTTTGAGATTGATCAATTCTTATTATTAAAAAATAATGTTTACATAATAACGCGTATTGCATTATTTCGGATTATTAAATATAATAATAACGTACCTAACTGGTAGACGCGTAGACGGTAGTAAAAAATTAAAATTCTTAAACTCTATACAACACATTTCGTTGAGCTTTTTCATTTCCAGCCCCCCTTATATTGTGCCAACTGTCATGATACAAATACAACCTGTTATTATAGTAATACATATATTATTTTGCATTTTGTATGTATTAAATTATTAATATTTAGACAGAAAATCGTTAGAAGACATGTCTATTATTTATAGGATTTTTTTTTAATAATTTATTGCTTTTATTGAGTCATATGCGTTAATGGTAAGTAATAAACCAATAAAAGATAAATGTAATTATTGACGTATAAATATCTAAAATCGAACGTAAAACTGCTCACTTACTCACTATTATTGATGATAAATATTTGTAATGTCATGAATCATGATGCTGCCGATGAGTCGATTATATTGTTCGGCCATTTTATCTTATTTCTAGTAGGTTCATAACATACACAACACATATACAATGTAATATTATAATATACCATTAATTCCATATCAGTCTAAAGATGGAATTTTTTCATTCAGATACATTCAATAATTTTAATGAATCAATTATCGATTTACACTTTTTGTTTTCTTCTAATACATAAATCAACTTATACCTTCTTCAACGCCTGGTTTGAATCCAAATCATGAATTCTTATTCTAAATTGGATCAATAATTTAACATTACAATATGAATTTACAATAAAAATAATGAGTGGAGGTTTATAATAAATAATATCATAGTAAATTAGTAAATATATTCGTAGAATTTATTTATAAGTACTTAAGACTAGAAAAATAATAAATCATTATCGTTGAAATAACTGAAATGTAACATTATGTATATGTTATTAATTATAATCATTAAAATATTAAATTTCTTTATAAAAGAAGATTAGGTACTTCATTCGCGATTATAGATTTCATATTTGCTATTGTCGTAACAACGAATAATAATTAATAAAATTCTTCACACGCACATAAACACATTAATATAACATAATTCATGCGATTATTTTTGTCATGTTCATCGGTTAATATTTATAAATATTTGCTGACTATTCTTTGAGCTAATAAAATTGACAATCATTACCTAAAAGATTCGGAAATGTAACACTTCAAGCTTAGATTATCTAGTAGTGTAATATTTATTATATGTATTAAAGTTATAAATACTATTTTTGAAAATTTCGACAGTTTTGTTTTGATATAGCATTTTTAGTTGGATGAATCAGCTTTGAATGGTATTGTGTTGGTACAATTTATGTACGCCCATAAAAACGATGCTACGTTCGAGTACGATTCCCAAATATTCCTGCCGTAGATCCGGTCCAGTATACACAAATTATAACGTGATACGGATCAGACACGGATCCAGTGATGATCTGAGAGGGGCGGAGAGGCTGTTAGTTTACAGCGTACATCGTACAAAAAGTTTGGTAGGTATATGATCACGAGAGTATCATGTATTATACATAATTTCTTTTTTTCATCATAATATATGTATATAGGTATCGGTATACAATTTATTTATTTAGATGTCTCTATGTTTTTCAATTGGTAAATCATTATGGATATTTAACGTTTTTCTGAAAGAAATTTAAAAGCGTGTGTCGGTGTGTCTGAATGGCGGGAAGAGTAGAGGGCACGGTCTTCTGGGATACGAGCACACCCAAGTTGTTAAAAATCCATATTCGTAATGGTCAAAAAGATTCATTTATCATCACCGCGGCACTTCAGCACACATGATATTATAATATTAACGTGAATAACGACATTACGTATAGACACAATCCCCAACAAACAATTCGTTGGTACCTACATATGATATATTGTATACGAAAAATTATTAAAACATCACACAAAGACGATAGTGTGTGCGTAGCGTTCCAGACGTGTTGACGATTAAAAAAATGAAATTAATCGAAACGAACAAACAACAGTCGTTGAGCTGTACGATAATAACGTGTGAATGTGTCATGCACTCGTATGACATCTTATTTAATATTTTATTATTTATCATAAGCGCGTCCGGTAATGATATCATAATATATTATTATTATCGTATCGTGCCGACGCCGACGATTTGTTACCTACTTTCGAGTTCTTGACAGTGCCCCACACGACTTACAACTTTACAAGAGTACAAGACCCCACTCGTTAATATTTAACGCGTCGTTTCGTCGTTTTCCAAACAGTTTATCGGCGTTTTTGTTATTGTTAGTATAATAATAATAATACAATATTAAAGCGTTCGGGTCACGGCGTAATTTTTGTTGTTGTCGACCGTTGTTACTGGTTATGGCCTGTGTGGGTGTGGGGGGGGGGGTATCACGCTCCAGCCATCGGCCGGACGTGTTCGACCATCGGACTGTGCAAGCCGCGGCGGCTGTCGGTGCCCGACAATAAAAGAAAAAAAAAAGTCCTTGACGGCCGCCGTTATTGTATTGGTTAGCCTGTAAAATACTGTTTATAAGTTATAACTTATAACTTATAATAATATTGTACATCGCTGCGGCGTTTGTCCTCGATTTCGTTTCCCGCCCGCCCCCGTACTTTCGCCCGTTGCCGCCCCCCATTCGTCAAATCCCCATCGCCGCGCTGCAGCTGCTCCCGTAGTTACCGTCGCCCGTCGCCATTCGACCAAGCATCCTCGACTGCCCCGACCGTCGCCGTGCGAACGTCCCCGTCTTCTCCGACCGTTCCTCTTCTCACTCTTTCCAGTATTTCTTTACTCTTCAGTCGCTTCTGTCGCCGCCTCGTCGTCCGTCACTCCGTCAGTCACTCTACTTTCACTCGCTCGTCGTTCTCGTCCGTCGCTTTCCGCGTTAGTATTATTTTCAAAAAATAATATTAGTCTATTCGTTCCACGCACGTTTGTCTTACAGGTTGGTACGTTCACCGTTATCTACGAAATAACGATTTGCATAAAAATTTGTTAATTGTTTATTACGGACGTACCGTGTTGATTGCACATGCTTCATGGTCCGCAGACCGTAGATAACGATATTCCTACACATAAATTATATTGATACGAAAATAACAATGATAAATACTCGATAATATTTTGTCAATCACTTGTTCACTGTCAGTTGTGTTTTTTTTTTCCACAGACTGTGAACAAAAATCGTATACAATGGCGATCAAAGGATTAACGCTGTTGATGGTGGCTTTTGCGTTCTGCAACTGCGTGGTTGAGGGTGAGTGTTGATCTGCAATCGGACTCGTTGGTCTCGATTATATAATATAAAACACTAAATATGTGTCTGTATACATACCTACATTTAAATGTCAAGTATTAATCGGATTTTATTGCTATTGTCTTTTGTCGTGCCGTGTCTCATTCTAATTGTTTTTTTGTTTATTAATTCTACTATGACTTGACTATAGGATACTTTACAATTCATTTCTATGAACATTTGTTATAAACACGACCTTAATAAATTTGATCATTTAATCCTCTTCAGTGCTTGGAAAGTATAATAGCAATTAATTCATCTCATAAAATGAAACTTGGTTCATTCCCATTACATAATTGAAAAAAAAAAAAAATCATTTAAAGTTGTCGACAATTTAAAACTGAATATAATTCTAGTTATTGTTCTTTGAAATAATTATGTAATTTTGTTCTTGATATGATCTTGAAAACTTATCATAGCCAAAAGTGACGAGTTTCTTTCAATCTGCTTTTTCGGTTGCTTAGCACTGATGTGGTTACCAACCGTATTGTTATTGGAGGGACAAATATTTTGTTGTCAACAGGTAGAGGTAGGCAAATGATTGGTAATCATTATTGTTTTTAAATTGTCCAATATCCAAGGTAATATTACTGATGGGTGTCAATTACTATTCATATAGGCTGCACCTTACACTTAGTCCACAATAGTCCTTATTATTGTTTTATTTTTTAATTTAACTCTGTGCTTGGTAATATTATATAGTAAGCAATATAATATACATATATAGTATATATATTATATACATACATAACAAGTTCATTAATCATATACCTATTGTCGGTTATAGTTATTACCTATTTATGTTTCTGTTATAGTGAAATGATCATAACATTTATAACTGTAAAATTGTGATTTTTAAAACTTAATTACAGTTTACCTAACACTTAATTAAAAAAAATGTTGTTTTAAATGTAGTTTGTATTGACTTAAAATATTTCAGAAATTTTAATGAAAACTTTCCTTTAATAATTGGTACTAATGGTTTTTCATGAGCCAGATTAGTTAATCAAATGTTAAATATTAAAATTTTTGTTTACGCTCATTAGTGAATAAACTTACTGTTTTAACAAAAAGTATTATTCTTGATATTATAGTAATTTATTGCAGTGAAACTAAAATTAAACAATTTTTTTTAAGATTTATTACAAAATTAGAACCAAATTTATGTTTAAAATGTTATTTGCCAAATTTCTCTATTGTAGCATTGTAATCATAAAACTAATATGGAAGTTGCACTATGACCATATACTGTATACTGCAATTACTAATCTTGATTATATTTATTTCAGGATCAAATGATTGTACTTTGCCTTGGTTAGTGGATAAAAATCCATTTATCTCTAAGGTTGAATCTCTTTCTGTCAATAGATGTCCCACTCCTATTATTGGGGATCAATCTAAAGAATATTGCTGTTATAATACTGACGGAAAGGTTGAATGTTGCAATTTTCAAGAGTTTATGTTGTTTGGGTATGTGTGAATACATTATTTTTATTTATTCAAAATTTTAATTATATTTATATTTTTCAGATTGATTTGTCTTATTCCGATTCTTATTGTTATATTGATTCTTTCATCCATTCTCAGTTGCATATGTTGTTTATTGTGCCCATGTTGCGCTATTTACAAACGTAGGCAAGCTGGCAGTAAGTAGTACTTAAAAAAGCGACTTATTAGTTAATTATAGTTAAAAAGACAAAGTAGTTAGATAATTAATATAATACAGTAACTATACTAGTTAAATAACTAGTATATAATTATCATATCTAATAGATGTATGTTTAATTACTATTAGAAGTATTGATATTTTTAACTATTTATTTATTTTTAATATTATCACTTTAATTTTGTAGTACCATTTGCACAGCTTCTTTAACTATACTATTATACTAAACAAAAAATTCTTAATATCTAGTATTGCATTATTCACTTTTTTAATAATTGCACCTAATAAAACTAAATAATATTTAGTATATAACATTTATATTGACAAATAATATTCAACATTTTTTCTTTTCAAACTTAATGATTTGCTAAAAAATGATATATATGATGCGATATATCAGCTACTAATATTGAATATATTACTTTTAGATTTTATAAATTTAAATTGTTGATGTTAAATATTACTAATACAAGACTAGTCATTACTAGTCTATGTTCTAAAACCTTAGTTAACTAAAAATTATAGTTTCTTAATTTTATTTTTGTTTTAAAACCACTTAAATTTTTCTTAATTATATTTCAACAATTCCACATTTTATGATAAATGTTTATTGTTTAATTTATTTTAAATCAAGTTTTATACAATATATTATTATGAAAAATAATTTGGTTAATGTTTTAACTTATTAAGAACATTTTTTAATTTAACATTTGAATATTATTTGCTGTTATGGTATTTTGAAAATGCATGTAATTGTGTCGGTTATGGATTTCATAATTCCTATAGATAAAAACTGACTACAATTTAATGCATTTTCACAGGTTGTGTTTAAAAAAATATTACTGCAGGGGTACTTGTTCAACCGCTTTCAACCAATTGTGTCATTATAGAAGGTATTCCAACTATAATATCCAGTCATGGATCCTACTATGCTTCAGGTATAAATTATATTCTTATTAGTTTATTTGTTCTAGTATAAGTATAATAACTTGGGGAGAGGGGCTACTGAATTTTATTTATTTTATTTAGTCTGGTCAAATCACATTATAAATAAGTTTTAGTTGTGATTAAAAAAAATTCTTTACTGTGTTTATCTTAACAAAAAGATAAAATAATTAACCATAGTTGCTAAAAAAATAGGTTAGGAGAAAAATCATGCAATAGAATTTTTTAAGTCCGGAAATAGCACAACTGATTTAACAAAGTAATGTTATTGATGACTTGAATAAATAAATTGTTTTTCCAGTTTCTATAAAACTTATGAGAAGGACAAGAGCAAAATTTGTTATAAGTGTAGGTTGTATGAGTATATTAAAAAATTAAATTTCACGATGTGAACTCTTATTTAATGTATGATATTTGTATATGGCTAATAGAAAAAAAATTAAAGATATACCAAAAATATACTATTTTTATTTTGTATACATTATTTTGAAAATTTTAACCACATTCAATAAGATCAAAATAATGTTAATAAAATAATGACCACTAGACATTTTACAATTTCTACTATTTATTCATTATGCAATTTTTTTTTTCAGCTTCAACAGGTTCTACACCTTTAATATCTAATGAGTACCCCAAACAATACAATTAGTTAAAATATTTAACTAATGAAACAAATTTATTAATATTATATATGATTTTATAGTGTGTTAAGTGTCTGATAAATTTACTAAAAATATATTAAGTCAGTGCTTCTCAAACTTTTTTGTCATCAAATTTAATGTAAAACTGTCAAGGCCCCTTAATCAAAATTATTAATTATTTTTTCTTAATTATAAACTAAAATGACAATAACTAAATAACCAAAAATATTTTAAAAAAAAATAAATATTTTACGGCCTATCAATCGTATAGCCACAACCCACAGTTTGAGAAGTATTGTGTTAAGTAATAAAGAATATGTAAATGGATTTAAAAATGAATAATACATGTTGACATTAAATAATAATACATTTATTAACTGCAAAACTTCAAATGAATCTAATATTATGTAAAGCATTATTTATTATTACATATATTATGTTATATTTAAATTGATATTTTTTACAATACGAATAATTATACTCCATTCACGTTTAGAAGCAACCAGGAAAGCCGACTTCTGCACATGGGTGTATACTCTGTCTCAAAGTAGAATACACCGGTTTTGCGCATCGCGACTGACGGTCGCGGAAGCTCGTTGGCTCGTTGCTCGATTTTCTCCCACTATGCGGCGAAATTGACAGCAGATGCGCGGCACCAAACGAAAACCGGTCAGCCGCCTGGTGTATTCTACTTTGAGACGGAGTATAGTATAATTCTGTGTTTATATTACTGTTGGTTGATTGAGTATGGAAAACAGTTATGTGTGTGTACTCTACTCACCACCAACAAAAACTAGTTGCTGCCCAGATCACTTCTAAACGTAAATGGAGTATTTATATATCTAAATTTAGTTTTTTTAAGATATTTTTTTACACAATCAATTATAATTTTATTTATTTGAAATAAGTTATTAAGCTGCTGACAGTGATGTATATTTCTTTTTATATATTTTGTTTAAACTAAATACATGTAATGTTAAGTGCAAATCTATGTTTTTATTTACTTTCTTTTAATACTGAATCAATATAATAATTTTATATTAAGAATTTTTCAGTTTAAACTTTTATAATAGTTCTTAAAAATCTGGTGCCAAATGCATTTAAAATAATAGTCTGGATGTCAATTAATTTATTTTGCTATGTTAGTTTTTAACATAATTGTTTTTTTTTTTTTATTACACTTTTTAATTGGTTGAATATGTAAAACTTTTTATGCTGTTTTATTGAGAACAATAAATATTATAATGTCTGATAACATTTTTTTAATTATTTTAATGAATATATTATAACAAACTTATTTTCACGAATATGATTAAAAACATCATTGTTATATATTCTGTAATTGTTAAATAAAATAATATGAGTATATAACCAATGTAAAACCAAAATCAATTATGAAGATAGAAAAATACTTAAAATATAACCCTTTTATTGTTCTATTTTTGTATAAAATGAAAAAAGTATTTATAAAACATTGTTATTTTTTTTAATAGTTTAAAATACTTGTAATTAGGTTTTTTTTTAAGTATTTTAAATACATTGAAACCATATACATATAAACATATATACGAACAATATCATTAAATTAGACTATATCTTATCTACTTTACTATTCTTCTTAGTTTATCAATCTTTATTATTCCAATAAATCAGACATCCTCATTAAGCCTTTGTTGCATCTAAAAATATTAATTACCAAGTATATATTTATATATATATTTTTTTTATAAAACGTAAAAATTAAATAATAAAATATAATCTCAGATTTATACATAAATTATAATTAATAATTTACATTTTTGAAAATTTATAATTAACAAAAATCTTATTGACACAATAAATAGCCAACAGGTACTTATTATGATAATAATTTGCAGGTTTATGGCTATTGACTTTATATGGATGACTAGTGTTTCTGCTTTTCCCTATATAACTTGATATTATTTATTGCTAATTAATATGATAAATAATTCTTCATCTATAATTAATATAAAACGAAATTCCTCATAAATATAGTGAAATTGTTTTATCAAACAACACTCATTATTACAAAAGCTATCAACGTTGAAGACGTGAATTGAGTGTTAGGTATATTTTTATTGGGTTTTATTGATTTTTTTTATGTAATATAATACTTGTTTGTTAGTTTGTATAAAACTTTTAATACAGAAATATATAGATACAACTTCAACTTAATGGTATTATATCATAGTGAGCTATCTATAATTTTAACTCAATATTATCTAAAACTAGTTGTCATTTTTTTTTTTCATAGTGAAGAATTAAATCCACACGGATAATATTACTTAAATAAACGGTAATTATTTTTTTGACATTTAACAGATAATAAGTTTTTTGTGTTTTAAAATTAATAAGTAAGATTAGCAAGAACATAGTTTAATATACTACACATCATTATTTTAATTTTGTATAGTAAAACAATTAAGTATATTATAAAAATATAATTCACAGATAAACAAACTTGACCAGAATTTGTTGATGAATTAACGGAAACTCCGTTGTATCTTTATTTTAAGATAAAACCTTTGTTTTATTTAAGTCTTTATTATAGTCTCTTAACTATATTAAAATACATCTTAAATTAATTAAAAAAATCAACCTTAATCTAATATTATAGTATGTAGTATGATTTTTTTTTTTAAGTGGGTTCCAACTGACTGAGCTCTATTAAAATATACCTATATTTTACCAACTATTCTGACTATTCTGGTAGTTGGAATCGAATTCCGAAAACATATTTGAATTCGTCATTAAGTTTATTTGAAAATAACTTTTCGACTTTTTTGAAATCGATTACTCGAACCATCAAATTTTAATTTAAAATTCAAAACCGTTTTGAGTAGAAATCATTATTTTACAAATTTCAAAATCTAATGAAAATTTTAATTTCAAACGCTCATAATTTGTTTTTATTAAAATCCAGTTTGATTATTTTTATATATCAGACAGACATATCAAAGATTTTTTTCAGTTTTTTTTTTTTCAAGAATTTATTTTTTTAATAATTCTGATCCCTAATTAATAATAATATCATTATGGTTATTTAATGGATAACGATGATATTAGATAGTATGAGGCAAGAATTTTAATTATTGTCACCAGAGAATTTAACAAATATATTCAGTGCCGGATTAAATGTTTCGCGGGCCTTAAGCAAATAATTCAGAAGGGCCTAATTGGCTATAAAGAGTAAAAAAAAGGTTATAGGTACAAACTACTAATTAAAACATTTTTTATTTTTTATAATTTAATTATGAATATTTACCATTGGATAACAAAAAAATGACGACTGGAAAATATTATAAATTAAAATTAAAAAAGAACCACCACTTCACGAGCAAATACCATAAAATATATTTTCTATATTTTCCAAGGAAGTTCTTCTACTAGGTTTGTGGTATATTACTTACTTGTGTATATTATTATTTCTACTAAGGTATGGTTTTGAAAACGAATCAATTGCCTGAAATGGTGAAATCCATTTCAAAATATTACCAAGGACAAAATTGAACCAGCGGGATTGTTTATTCATAAATCATATGGATAAACGAGTAAAACACGATTGCGTACGTTCGTTATCAGTGATATCACTGATATCTTTTTAAGTTACACGATTGTGAACTATTTTATCTGGTTTTTTACTAGACGATTATGTACGAAATATTAAGCGATATGATACGATTAGCGAAATTAATGAAATGGTTAGTTCATGGTAATGTATACACATACTTTGAACACTTCTTAAACACATAAAAATTTTATAGTTTTAATAATTGTTTTAAAAGTTATTTAGCACGGATAAATTGGCCTATGCGGCTATACATATATTATTCATAGAAGATTTATCTCCACTTTTAAATAAAGGTTTAACTACAGGCTACGGCCAACTTCAGGATTTAGGGAAAATGTTTTGCTCAATACTTAAATTGTTTTATATTATTAATAATTAAACCACAGGATTCACTATAGATTTATTTATACTTTTTAAAATCTTGACTGATATTCTATATTCAAAGTTCAAACCCATTGGCAGTATCTTTCTTGAAGTCATTAATAATCTCTAGAATAGTTGACGGTTCAATTTTTGTAAGAAAAACATCATCAAATGAAATATTATTATGTTCATGGCTCGGTTTCAATTTGATTGGGTTTTTTAGATAAACTATTAGCAATACTTAAATAAAAAAAAAAAAACTATTAAATATATTGAATGCTTTTGTTAGATTTTTTCTGGCACTTATTTCAATTTTCTTATATTTTGTTTGATTATTTTATCTTTTGATCTACATTTAACACTGGTAGGTATGTAGCTTCATTAATTAGTTTCCATGTTAATTTCAGGTTGGAACTTACATTTTTGAATTTTTGTTCATAAGATTTTATCTCTGCTAGCCTTACAGTTTTCGTAATTTCGTAAAGCTATTTTTGTATTTTTTTTGCAATGTAAAGCTATCCATGTATTGTCAGCGTGTTTTTTTTAATTTCATCGAGAGATATTGCTTACGTCGGGCTGAGATTAATAATCCATTAGTCATCCACCTTTTCAAAGTTTCAAACGTTTATTTTTGGCATTTACTAATCTACACGTTGTCGATCATTCAATAGAATTGAACTATCGAAAACAGTTTAGCGTCATTTAGCATCTATTATATACTTCAGTTTATTTTTCATTAACTTGTATAGATACGACAGTATTGTAATCAATTGAACCGAACATTTTTTTTTTTTTTTTGAACAAATTCACTATTGATGGGTATTGATTATTGAAGTTCATAAATATAGTACAATGATCAGTCGACAGTTATATCAGTTGGTATGACACCGGCATTCATTTTACTCATTAAGTAATCGTTCCCATTGGCCATTAATAATTAATATATGGTCTAAATGACTAAACATGCATGATTAAAACCTTAGGTAATCTTATGTAAACATTTATAAAAGAGATAATTGACTTTCAGATAACAAATTTAAATATCTATTGACAATTGTTATTTTCAAGTATACCAATATGTTAATATTCATACCAGTCATATCACCAATGAAAACCGTCGTTATCACACTATTTAACTTATAGTTGTAATATGGTCCAGGTCATATTAGGTTTTCAGTTCTGAAAAATTCCCACCTAGCTGTATTTTGTTACACGCCTTTTTGACATCGTTATGATCAACGTGTAGAAAGTCGACCTCGATATCGTATACGCGTTAAATGTTATTCGAGGTCAAAGGTCACGAAAATGGCTTTTTTTTTAATATCTCGTTTTTTATTGCTCATACAACAAAAAGTTTTGAATACAAATTACGGAGGAGATAATTTTATATTTAAAATATTTTATGATATTTTCACGTAAAAGTTATAGTTTTCGCGTTATAAC